CTGGTACATACATGTATTTTCTCTATATTTATTTGTTATTGAAATGCCTAATGCATCTATGAACATGTAATATACACAGATTTTTTAATCAATATTTAAATTTATTTAACAGTTTAAAATGTTCTTAAAGCGAAACATTAATTTGTATAAATACATTAAAAAAAACATTGAAATTCAGGTTGCAGATCAAAGATTTTTTTTTTTTTTTTTTTTTTTTTTGCAGTGGATGTAGTGGGGGTGGGGTGTTTCACGTTAACTTTAACAGATGCCAAACATAAAAATTTTGACATGCAAGAAAAAGATTTAAAAATTCCCGAAAAACCAAATTCATGATGGGGGGGGGGGGGGGGGGGGAGGCATGAAAAGATACTTTCTTAAATCAATTCCTTCAGATATATTACTTTGGTTATCAATATAAGAGGGATCCTTGTTTCCTCGACAAAGGTCATTTTACTGTTACTTTTACTATGAAAGTCTGTAGATCAGATTTGCACATGAAATATACAAATTGCAATACATTAATTAATTTTGCAAGATGACAGTGTCAAACTGATTTGTTTTCAGATAAAAGATAATGCATGAATGTATTATAAATGTATTTCTATATTTCTTTCCTTTTTTACTCTACAAAAGCCAAGAAAAACTCTTGTTAACAGCAGTACAGGACTTCATGTAAATTATACAGGGTAGCTCTACATGCAGATACATGTACTCTACACTCTATAGATTCAACAGAATATTTAGAAAATGTTGCTAGCATCTAGAAAAAAGGATAATTTAGCCTTTTGCAGTTATTCACTGGTACTAGCAGTCATTTAATCTTAAACAGAAAGACTTATTAAAAAAGAACAGAATTATAAATCATTATTTATTTATTTGTTGCTTATGTCTCTGATCAGAAGAAAAGAAAAATTGTAAAATAATATATATATATATATTTAATTTGAGGGGTCAAATTTTCAAGGTTTAAGAAAAAATATTTAATTTCATGGTTGAAGAAGTGTGGCATTGTTAAAATTTATAAAACTCAATAAAATTAATGTCTCCACAGTACAATACTGCATCATAATGTACATGCCCATGCATGTAAAACCTTTCAATAGCGATCAATGAATTTTAATTCCCTCTGTCCATTAAAAAAAAGTTTTTAAATGTATTTTATTTCTTCCATTAAATATTTCTCAACTTTCAAGTTAAAGGATGTGTCATAACATTTTGACATTCACGGAAAAGTCAGTAGAATAACAGGATATATTTTCAAGGTCAGACCTGGCTATAATTATATTTTTTTTATACTTTCATAGATGCAACGAAGAAATTATCTATTGAAACCAGTATCAGTTATATAAGGCACAGATGGATCTTAAGATAATGTAAGTATATTATCATGTATAATAATTATTGGGTGTTTTTTTTCATTTGCACCTTTTAGCTCACCTGAGCTGTAAGCTCAAGTGGTCACATTTGTTCAGTGTTCATCTAATTTAGTGGCATCTTTAAAAAAAACAGAACCACTTGGCCAGATACATGTAAGTTGAAACTTATGTGAAACTCTAATTACATAGTGTAGATACAGTTCTGTTCAAATCTTGACCTTTTTGGGGTAGGATGGGGCCAAAGAGGACAATCAAAGTCTTACATAGGGATATGTAGGAAAAAATCTTTAAAAATCTTCTTCTCTAAAACAGCAAGACCTTGATCAGTCATATTGATATGGAAGAATCCTCAGGTACCCCTATGTAGATTTAAATTTATTCAAATCACGTTTCTTAAAATAAATTGTGTGAAGCATCCTAATTCATGTACTTATGAATTCTCAAAAGTTGTATTTATTTCTTAAATGAACTCATTGTATCCTAGTGTGCGAATAACAAGCAAAATTATAAAAGGTGTGCTATATATTTCATGAGAAAATCAAAATTCCCAAGTCTTGCAGATACAAGCTGGGTTGAGTGGGGCTAAAATATTGAAGCAAATTTTACATTATACGGATCGGCTATATATGTCATATTGCTATCCAGCATATGCATTTGTTGTGAGTGGATTCAAGTATGCATAAGTCATGGCCTCTTGATGCTAGGGTACAGCCCAGTAAGAACATGAATGTTTCTTGGGAATATAGATTGGAATGTTTTTCAAAAACTTCAAAAAACAATAGCATTGCAAAGGTGGATGAGGTGAGCAGTGTGGCCTATGGAACTCTTCTTATTAATTTTTTTTCTTTTAATTCATAAATTACTGATTTGAACCCAAGGTAATATTTAAGTGCGGCAAAACTTACGATTTTCCTTCCATTCACGAAGAGTATTTTTTTAAAAAAAATCCCTGACCTGTTATAAGATAGAGTTAATGAGTCATTCTGACAGAGACATTTTCAAATATTCAATATAGTTTTTCCAAATATTTCGTTAAAAATCCATGTTTACAACCTTTTGTCCAATCTCACAATCGCTTAGCTATGACGTCTCAACCGCTCAACTTTAACTTCACAGCCTATGACACTGTATTACAAAAAGACGGAGGCGAGGGGAAAATCTAAGAAAATGTAAAAAAAAAAAAAAAAACAAAAAAAAAAAAAAAAAACAACAAAAAAAAAAAAAAACAGAAAATTTAATGTTTTGTAGATGAATACTTCGCACTCGTGAAGATATCAAAATATCCTGTCCCACTCGTGAAATAAATTCCATATTCATCTACAAAACATTGAATATCCTCTATTTATTTTTTGTCAATATATGCAAATATATGCAAAAGGAAGTCAATTTTGACTACTTTCGGTTTAACCAGAAAAGAAGGTTGAACGTCCTCTTTGATATGTATATTTCAATTCAATGCCAATATCTATAAAAATTATCAATTTTGCCCTTCTTCCTGATTGGCCGGATGTGACGTCATTTGACCTCTTTTGTCAACCGCACTTGCTCCTCCTCAATATTTTGAACAACTTTGCTTCTTTGATGTATTACAAATTCTCAATACTTTTTGAGGTTTTTAGGAAAAGTTTTGGCCCCTCTAGATCCTTTATTTTAGGGGTCAGCCCAATTTTTTAAATATTGTTCGAAAGTTATTTTAATTCTATACTACTTTTCTTCTATATGTTTTATCAAAATATTTACGGGTAAAGAAGTACTGTAGAAAAAGTGTAAGAAATTTTGAAATTCTTGATATGCCTTTTTTCGGACCATATTCAGCACCGGCATACAGCAATTCCAGTAAAAATGAAATACGTTTGTCACATCTAAATATATTGCACTATCATTGCTGAAAATCTCAAGTTTCTATCTAAGCCGTTTTTGAGAGAACTCGCGGACAAACTAACCCTCTTAAAATCACTAAAATGCAGAAATCTCGGAATCGGAAGTGACGTCATCAAAACAAATATGTAATGTCTAGTCTTTTTGATGTTCTATCAGTCCTGAAAGTATCATAAAATCGAGCAAGCCGTTTTCGAGAACTCGCGTGAAAAAAAATAAAAACTAAAAGAAACAAGAATGTCTTCCACTAAAGACGGAAGACCTTAATTATGTTGAACACTTAAGCCGAAGCGATTTAAGCTAATCACTTGAAACAATTTAACTGACTGTGAAGTGATCATTAAGGTCAAGTTCTATCGCAACAAATGTGTCAACATAAATAAAAAATCCCATTGTGCAGATTATACCGACTTTATTAGAAAGATTACGTATTTTCCTAATTCACTCGAAGTATTTTCCTTTAGAAACTCATACGAATTGTATTATGAATACATGTATTATGATGAAGCAATGCAGTTGTCCCCTGAGCATTGCTTTAATAGAGTTTTATGAAATGTAATAATAAATTTAACAGAACAATAAAAGAATTAATGCATATCTATTATCAAGATGATATGCTCATAAATAGAATGATTAAGCCGTGAAATGCAACCTTATAAATTGTTTATTTCTCTCAATAACATTAATTACCGATATTTCTTAATTATGTTTTCTCTATGCTGAATAATGTAAAGATAACGAGCAGTGATCGATCTAAAAAAAAAAATCCAGAAAAAAGTCCGTACAGAGGTTTAAAACACGGATCCTTGAAAATTTCAGAGGTGGAATCAGGTGCCGAGGAGGAGTAGGCATCCCCTATTGACTGGTCATTTTGGAGTCCTAAAAATCTATTCAACTTTTTGTTACTTTACTGAAGTATTGTTTTAACAGTCTACAGTTATGAAACCAGGATGCATAGGATACGACTGCACCAAAACGAGTACGACTAGTAGAACACTATGGAATTGAAATTATTAAAATAAAAATCTTATTCTTAATATGTCACAGTTACTGAATTACTCAGCCTGTCTTATTTGTCTAAGCAATCTGTCATTAATGCTCATCGTTCTAATTGTCATTATAATAATATAATATTCATATGATATGAAGATTTTTTGTTATTTAAATAAGTCTTATGCTTTGGAATGCTGGGGTGTAATTAAATTTGCCCTGTCGACGTCGACATAAAGTATTATAATAAAGATCTTTTTCATCGCTTGCATTTTTATGGCGTCGAGCTCTTGGAGCTCGAACGTAATCTAGCGATCGCCCAGGTGAAATCGCCACAGGATGTACGCGACCAAATGTGTCAGTGGATACATCCGTAATAGAAAATAAAAATAGCTATAAACCAATTTCTTTGAAAACGCCCACAATGAATAATAGCTTGAAAATAAAATTGCATCAATTGTATCTACAATTAATTCTATTACAAAATAACGATATAATGTTTTATTTTCACACAAGAAAAACGTGATGGTTGTTGCGGATGAATTTCTACAGAAAGGGTGTGTCGAATGACATGAATAACATTTTGGAATGATAACAGTGTAACACAAACAACAAAACAGGCGGTAAAATAGTAACAAAATTACATAAACACGAATACTACAAGACTTAAAAGATTGAATTTCTAAATCTTAGCTTTACTTTTACAATCTTCTAACCAAACTTTATCCTAAAAACGATGAAGTTGACCAGTATTACTGTATTTCTCCATTTCCTCCAATATACCACGACCTATCGTAACTCGATCGTACTTGTAACAGAGCAGAGTCATGGTTGTAGTTTAGATGCAATCACTAAAACAACGCTTTGACATTGGCAATTAGAAAGGATAATATATACATGTAAATTCATGAAATTCTTCATAGTTCTCCAATTGACTGAAAAGAAATTAGTTTAATATTTAGCATGAACATCTTCGACGGTGTCTGGTCAATTCGAACCTTGCTCCATTCGGACCATGACATAAGGCCCCAGACTGTAATTGTGACATTTTGTTTAAAAGTATTTTTTTTTTCATTATTATTATGTCACTTGAGTCACTTACTTGACCTATTGCTATCTTCATATCTTTTGAAATTGTTTTTCTTGCTCGACGCGATCAAGCCTTTCAGACTTTTGATTTTTTTATTCAATTGTTGCCGGAAAACTTAACACGTATTTTACCGACAATAATTTTGCATTCTAGGATCTAAATGTGACCAGCACGTATCTTCTCTAGAGATATAATACATTGTACGTTCAAAGTGTTATTTGTTCAGAAGAAATCCACACCCACCTCTTCGCGAGTCTAGCTACACGTTCCGAGTGTTTCACATGCAAATTTTGATAATTGTATTGTGGTATTTTTTTGCGACTAGAAGTTACCTTTCGATTCAAAGAATCCAGGGGTAGCCATCGAGAATTGTGTAGCTCAGTGATCAAACAAGGCATCCAATCCAGGAGGACTGGCCATTCTGTAGGATCGACTGATGTCACGTCATAACAGCCTGATTCTATTGCAGGTATTTCTAAGACTGGGCAAAAAAATAACCCAGAGTGTTTCTGTTTCGGAGACACAACAGAAGAGCAAGCATTATATGCATACTAATACCGTAAGCTAACAAATCCGCTAGGTGAGGGTATCTGATCTGCCTCACAAACGTTGGCCTATGATGGCCTTTTGCGAATTTCAGACATAGAATGTTATATGAAAGAAAACTCTTTAAAAACTCTTACTGGAAAGATTCTGTCTTCGAATAAAAAAACATAATAAATGTTTATTGACTTTTTAAGAAATCCATACAAACGGAAAAAACTGTTTAATTTTTTCTTTCTTTCTTTCTCTTCTCGCCTTCAAATATTCCTCGGGGGATATTTATACAACTTTTATAACTCTTAACAATAAGTTAAAAAAATGTATCTTTTTAAGATTAAAAATTGTCTGTTTATTTAACAAGTCATCAGTTTTGATATTTTTAACTTTAAACAAGAAACTCAAATGCTTTATTTGGTGCAAACGATTTCTATTTGTAAACTGGATTTAAATAATGTATAATTACATATTGTCAAAGGCACTTCTATCGTAAAGAAATACATGTATTATATCAATTTTAAATCAAATGTTTTAGAATGTGTAATATTTTTTTTCGATTTTCATGTTATTTTTAATGGTTGTGGGATTAAAAATCATAAGTCTAACTTAATTACATTAAAAATAACTTTAATTGATGGTTCAGTCATATAAATGTTAAATGTTCTCATTTCCTGGTTACAACTCTCCATGAACTAATATCCATTTTTGAATCAGCACATGCAATTGTTGACCTGTAGAATAGTAATGAATGTGTTAAAAACTGTCTCAGGGAAAATACATATATCAACTTATGTTGTACAAAATTCAGCTTCAAGGAATGATATAAATATACTATATATTTTCCAATTTAAGTTGAATAATTTAACACATCTTTAACATTCTTTTACAAGCATTGGCGGCAAAGAATTGAAATAGTGATTTAACAGAAGTATTCTTCTGGATTTTTAAAAAATAATTCTTTTGTCTTGGGTACTTGAGAGTTATTATAAAGATAAATACATACGTCTGACCGACTCTAAAAACATCAGCAGAAACATTTGTCAGGGGATTGGAATCCTCACTGAAAACTTCGCATAATACTTTGCCAAAGGTCATCGATTTTATGGCAGCAAGTTGTTCTTTGATTAAAGAAACGAGTTTATGAAAACACAGTGAAACGTAAATAAATTGTAGCATACATAAAAAGGAAATATTAATATCTGAAAAAATATAACTGAAGAAAGGTTTTTGAAGTATAATGTAGTGTAAATAGAGAAACTGTTACATCATATCCAAAGCACTGTATTCGTTATTCCGAAATAAACAAATTTATCTAACAAATACAAGCTTAATTTTCTTTGACCGTTCTTATAATCAATTTGAATACTTAAATAGTTTATCCTTAAGTTTTAAAATACCAAAATTTTAAAAAGTCTATCAATGAAAACATTAAACAGTTTGTCACTTAATGACTCACCGGAAGTGAACCTGACATTAGGATACGAGTTTAAATTTTCGTACCAATACCGATCGCCATACTTTAGTCGCTGAAATTGCGCTGCGATAATGCAACCGAACAAAGGACCAACAAGTCCAATTGGTACAGCTTTCTCTGATATTCCCCCCGGAAATAGGTCTATATCACCTATTTTCCTAGAAAGATTATATTAACGTTTATGTTGACTGCAACACATGAGAAATCAATATTTACTATATGTGGGACATATAATATTTTCCTACAATTTTTCTTAAAACATTTTTTATTCATTTTGTACATGTACAGATCATGTAGATTGCTTTTTTAAGATTTAAAAATAATTAAATTCCTTACTAAGGTACAGAATTACATACACTGGGTAAAATATCAGCTTGTCCTTTAATTGGTATTGCAGCTTTCAGATAGCAATAATTATAATTAAAATGACGATCATGCTTTACAATAGAAGTCGTTGAAATATTAAATTTTTATCAAATAAAAATTAAGTATTAACCCGCCATATATCTCCAGTAACTTATTCCTCCGTTCATCCTCGTGATCAGGGAGCCCCTCATATCCTTGTCTACATCTCTCTTTATATTTGATATAAGGGGCCAGACCGTGATCTCGTCCTCTCTGTATATTTAGGGCAGGCAAATCAAGGCCTTTGTCGTCAGTCTTAAATAGGCGCTCCCGAATTCCCTCTTCAAATCGACTGAAGATCAACAGTAAAAGTAGAATGATCAGTTACAATTTGAGGAGCTGTTTGATTATTAAAGTGTATGTCTGGGCATTAAAAGAAAGCACTGTAGATTCCTAAATAATAATATGTATTTTCGCGAAAAGCAATATTCTCGGAATGAAATTATCTGTTTTTATTTTAATATTGCTGAAATACATGTTAAAAAAATTTTTTTAAATTAAAATAAAAAAACTCTATATCAACAACCCACAAACGGTTTGACGTATGTGAATTTCGCGATATGACGTGCTCTTGTAAAATAAGGAATCTATACAGTATGCATCAAACTTTAAAAAAAAATTGGCAGGATTATTACTTTTATTCATCAGCAGAGTAACTGACTTAGAGGAATGTAGTATTAGTGTTACAAATTGATTTGATTGTTCTGACTCTTCTTGGAATCAATTAACATACCTGTCAACTTTCTTTGCAGGTGTTCTCATTAAATGTTCTGTTAATGATCGGAGATTGCCGCCTCCACCTGAAATTATTTCTTGAGTTTCCATCAGTACATCGTCAATCTTAAATCTTGCATTGCTTATTTCCAGAAAACCAGGAATCTAATTTTGATGAAAGAAAAAACTATTTTAACATTTTTAGGGCAAAAGAATATACAAAGTTACACTATATATGTTTATTTTTTTTGCATCTCATACGAAAACATTATTTCGTGTTTTAAACAAATAAAATGGTTTCACTATTGAGAACATTTATATTTCTCTACTAGCAAAAGCAAAGTTATACATAATCAGTTGTCTGTCTTCAATTTTTTATTCAACTTGATATTTTCAAAAACTGTTTTCCTGTCATATTTCAAAGATCTTTTTGCCGGATTTACTTTCAACAAGTCATTTTTTTCTTTGCCTCTAACAATATATATGGAAGCCTGTTGAGGCCAATAATTACTGCGTTTGGACGAAATAATTACATTTCTTTTTTTTTGAACTGGCCTCAACGGGATTCCGAAAATATATTGAATATTTTTGAATTTCTCAATATTTTATATCCAAGTATCCTACAGAATAGGATTAAAATTGAATACATTTAATTTTATTGTTTGTTTGTTTGGAGATGTGGCGTCACCACTTGTCGGTGGAGGACTGCAAATTTAAATCTAAACTCGGCACTCAGAGCCATTGAGCATACAGTCTCATCCGAAAGACCGGTCTCCACGTCCCAAAGTGGGATTCAAACCTCCGATGTAAGGATCAACTTTTTGCTCTGCGACTCTAGAGTAGATGCTCTAGACAATGCGCCACGCGAGCGACCATTTTATCATAAAAATACTAGTAAGTATCAAAATGTGGTTTATAGTAAATGAAATTTATGTAACTATTGAAATACTCAAGAACTGCAAACAAATTTATAGTAAATCAAGAGGCACGTGGGCATTATCTCTTACCTGAGCATTTTGGCTGGGAAAAAAGCAGAAATTACTAAATTCCTGAAAACTTTAATAATAAAAGAGATCCTAACCACCAAATCCCCCGGCAGAAGATGGGCATAATTTGAACAAACTTAAATCAACACTAATAGAGGACGCTTCCATGTAAATATGACTAGTCATGGCTTTAAAAGTTTTTTTTTTGTATATTCCTTTGTATAACTTTAATCTCTGATTGTGGTTCCACCCTAACACCCCGGTTGTCATAATTTACAAATGCTGTATCTCTATCGATATGAATAATCATGGGTTTGCTATTCTTGAGAAGATTTTTCAATATTTTCCTCTATATATTCCTATATAAAACTTTGATCGCCAATTGGAACGTCACCCTTCCCCTGGGGTCTGATTTGAACTAATTTGAATCTAACCTACCTGAGAATGTTTTCATATGACTAAGCATCGCTTAGCTGTTTTGTTTTGTTTTTTTAAATGATTTTTGCAATATTTTCCTACGTAAAACTTTGATCGACTTTTATGGCCCCATCCTAACCCCGATGGTTTTGATTGGCATAAACTTTTGATACACACTATCTGAGATCTGAGGATGCTTCCATATAAATATGACTTATCATGGATTTACTTTACTTGGAAACACTTTTTAAGATTTTTTCATCAATATTCCTATGTAAAACTAATTGCTTAATGCCCGGGGGTAGTGTTTTGAACAAACTAGAATCTACACTGCTCCTATATAAATATTTCTTATCATGAATTCGCTGTTCCAGATCTTGAAAATATTGAAAAAAATTTGAAAGATTTTTCCTATATATTCCTATGCAAAAAATTGGAGCTTTCAGCTCAGATGAACTAATAAAAAAAAGTTTGCCCGCGCACCTGATCGTGTCCGTATCGGAAAGCAGCTGTTGAGAACTCATTCAGAATACTTGGGTCTATGGTATCATAATACCGAAAATTGCCTTCCTGACCCACTGGATAAGAATACAACCGGTATTGGTTCATTAATCCAGGGCCGATAACTTTGGGAAGCCAATGGTTGTAGATGATATGCTGTACGATCGCTCCCATAATGCGCCTCGTCTCGAGATAGATCGTATTTGATGTCCATTTTGGATTGAGGATATTCAGCTTTTTTGCTAAAATATTGTGGAAGCGAAGGAAAATTGTGTGCATTAATCCCAGTGATGGCACCTCGTTCACTCGTATGTCCCCTGCATTAGAAAATTTATACCATCTGAGAGAAAAATATTTTATTTGCAATACAAAAAAATTGTGAATGTACTGATTCACAGGTACTAGTAAACCTGTATTATGGTATAAATTCGGGAAAATTGTTTATATACATTTTATCACGTTTTCTCCTTTATTCAGGTGATATTGGTCATATGAGTTGTTTTGAAATCCACAGCTGTGACGTCACAATGATTTTTGTGTGAAAATTATGATGTCAGATACATGTTTAGTGGATTTGTTTAGAATGTAAAACATGTAATACTAGTAGCTATGTGTTAAGCGTGTAAAAAAAAATAGAATCTGGCTTTATTTGTGGGATTGATCTAACTCGTTATGTGATTAATCCCCTCGCCAAGGCAAAACTCAAATGCAAATATAAAAATCCTACCATAATCCAATGGAAATACTAAATATACATGTATATAGTCAAATTTTAAGAGACTTTTGAGCGAATAATAGTTAAAATAAAAGTAAGACAATATTTAAATTTTGACCAGGATAAGCATACTCTGATAGTTCCTTTTACTTTGACCTGTCCTTTGGGGCTTCTGCTTGGTCCGGCCAGCGATATATTATCATAGAAAGTTCAGGAGAGTTTATCACTTAAGTAGTTTGGGAACAACAGGCTTCTGCTTGGTCCGGCCAGCGATATATTATCATAGAAAGTTTTGGAGAGTTTATCACTTTAGTAGTTTGGGAACAACAGGCTTCTGCTTGGTCCGGCCAGTGATATATTATCATAGAAAGTTCAGGAGAGTTTATCACATAAGTAGTTTGGGAACAACAGGCTTCTGCTTGTTCCGGCCAGTGATATATTATCATAGCAAGTTCAGGAGAGTTTATCACTTAAGTAGTTTGGGAACAACAGGCTTCTGCTTGGTCCGGCCAGTGATATATCATCATAGCAAGTTCAGGAGAGTTTATCACTTTAGTAGTTTGGGAACAACAGGCTTCTGCTTGGTCCGGCCAGTGATATATCATCATAGCAAGTTCAGGAGAGTTTATCACTTAAGTAGTTTGGGAACAACAGGCTTCTGCTTGGTCCGGCCAGTGATATATCATCATAGCAAGTTCAGGAGAGTTTATCACTCAAGTAGGGGCCTACTCGTGGTAAACCGGAAGCCTAGTAGGGTCCTACCCTAATACGTCTCCTTGTACATTTTTTATTATAAGAATAAATTAAGTTTTTGCCTTGAAGTGTTAGGGATACATGTATTTTTAATAAAAGATATTCAGTTTTCAAGTCAATAGAAATGACGTCCATCTTTCCACAGAATTCAGTGTGTATCAATCATGTTATAAAGCTTTATAAAGTAAAACTAATTTATAAGCTCAATTTAAAGATTCTTGAAGATACAAACTTCATCTTATTTACGATACATTTACATATAAATCCAAATTTAAATATAACTATATTTCATTTTAGTAAGAAATCTCACCAGCTAATTGACAAAAAGAAGTGTCTTGCTTTCCATCTTTGCAGTGATTTGGATTCCCTCTGGGAAGATTACGACCATTGTTGGATGACTTTAACAAACCTGATTAGTAAATAATAGAAAATGGCGGCGAATGAGGGAAGACTTCAATAAACCCGATTAGTAAAATTACAGAAAATGGCGGTAAATGAGGGAAGACTTCAATATACCTAGAGGATCGATGGAAATGACAGCATATAAGAGAAGAGCATTTTAAGGTTTTTATAAATATAACAATTTAATTTTTATTTGACGAAGCAGCAGTGAATAAGACCAATGGTTGGTTTTTACACCCAAAATTCTGAAATTAAACTACTGATTGTAGAAATGAATCAGTGATCATATAAAAAGAAGCTATATGCAACAATAGGCAGAAATATCACATTTGTATTGTTTTTTTTTAAATATTTATATTCTTTGTCCAAAAAAAAGACAATACATGTTTATTTCATGTATTCTGTTATTAAAGTTTATGTATCCCTTTCCAAAAATTCGCTTGATACTAAAAAAAGGATTTTAACTTTTCCATTACCATAGACGCCAGCATCCACTGCTTTCGACACTATTAAAGTATTTCCATAAACGTTTCCACAGTCTATGAAGGATGTCAACTCATTAATCTGTTCTCGGTAATCGGTCCCTTAAGTAAAATTGTGGGATTTTATTATACAGATACACTACAGCATGAGGTAAGACCTACTTCTTTTGCAAATCTAGCATTTATATACCTTCAGAATCAACATGCTTCTTATTTCAGGAGCTAAAGTGACTTTCAGGAAACATTTATATGAATAGGTGATTATTACATTTTGTTTTTGCTGATAAATATGACGAATATATGATATAACATAATTTTAATTGTAAATTGCATAGATTTATTTGATAACTCTTGATTTCAATAGTCTCTGACATATCGTTGCTTTTAATTTGAAAGAAAGGGAATGTATGTAAGTATATGTACATTATATATATTTTTTTTACAAAACATGAAATTGGTCAATTTGCTTTATTATTAAAAAAAATGTTACATGTACATAAAAATAACCCTAAATATCAGACTTTTCATCTCATTTTGTTTCATAAACATATAGGTAAAGGATGACAATACCACAAGTATCTGGTCTCCTGGGCTCCTCTGCAGGTGCGGATCTAACGAACGGCATACACTCCTCTGTTGCTTGTACATCACGTATAATAGGAAAGCAACCAGTCCTGATAGAGATATAAACTCATTTGCTTCGGATGAATAAACAATATTTGCTTAATGTAACTTCTTGTGAAAAGACTATGTAGTTTCTATTCCTGCACGCTTAGAATTAAGCACACATATTTTGACATATTTCAACAATGTCGAAACGAAACTCAGGTATAGATGTTGGATCTGCTAATAAAACATGTACATTTGATAAAACTTTTCGTCTATTACGATTAACATGCCGGTGTAACGACGAAAATTGACCCCCGAAGAATATTGACCGGGGGATCAAATTTCTCCGTAGAAAAATGACCCCCCGGTCAATTTTCTACGGCAAGTAGGGTCATTTTTCGACCGTAGAAAACCCTTCCAGACCGGTAATTCTACGACTCCACACACGTTGAAAAATGACCCCCATAGAAATCTGACCCCCTACTTTTTCACTATATTTTATAATTAAACCTTTAGAAATGAGGTGTGATATGCGTTAATCTGATGTTGGGGAGGGTCGGTGAAGGCCTAGATTCTCCCGAATTTTTTTTCTTTCAAATGTATATTGGAGAAGCAAAGTACCTTCCCCTCCTTAACGCCATTTCTTAATACTAGCATGATATGAAATGTACCTGGTATGGTTTATATATATATATATATATATAATCCGTTTTGTATTTTCTTGGTTATTGGTTTTTTTTTCTCACAGGTTTTGTTCCGAAAATGACATGATATGTTTCTGACAACGATATACCTGTATGGAATGGATGTTATCGGAAACTATTTAAAATTTGTGCCCGCTTTCAACCTGCCCCCACCCCAGCGCTAGCTTTTACATGTATCAGTTTCTGGATACACCATTCCATTGAAACAAAAAACGTATTGTATTATTATTTGTAAACAAGGAAAGAATTAGAGAAAGCACGGCATATTAAGCGTCCAATAACGTCCAATATGGAGATGCTATCATTAACTGTAATTACTGCTTCATTTTCAATTTCATGTAATATCTTTTTCCCTCTTTTAGGTTCATTTATCCTTATTTATTACATGAATATTAATACCCCCGCTTCAAAGGAAGTGGGGGTGTACACCTTGTACCCTGCGAATTTCTCTGTTGTGTGTGCGGGGTGAGTGTTTGTGTCTGTCTGTCCGAAACATTTATTTCGTTGCAGTTTTCTCTGCAACAACTCATCGCAGATGCTTGAAATTCTAATACACTCTTTGGTTCGGCATGCTATACAGTGATATTTATTTTGGTACTAGTCTTGTCCGTCTGTCTGTGCGGGTGGGGTATCACTAGAGAGCACTGGCTCATAGATTTCTTGTTTCCCCTGTAATTTGTGTACTTACAATTATTGACTGTAGAATTATATTATCTCTATTTTAGGGAAAAAACGAATTTAGCTAATTTGAAATAACGTTAACTATGAAACACTATATATATTGTTTGTATCAGGATCGCTATATGAAAAACACTGATAGTCTCTAACAAAAAAAAATATAGTTTGCCAAAGTTAACTATAGTTTAATGCAGTATCAAAGTTTTTCCTATAGCAAATCAAAGTATTTTTTTTATATATATGATTGTGATATTTTATGTTCTTAAATTTATATGTGCACATTTTTATATTTTAGGGAACTACGAGGGGTGATCAAAAAGTTCGTGAACTATCTCGTTGTTTACAAAACCACAGTTCAAATCAAAATGAAATTTGGCACACATTTAGTCATAAACATGTTCTATAAATAGCAGGTATTTGCTCCACGTTTGGACGTCACAATATAAAAATGACTCAATATGTAGATGACGTGACAAAAAATGGTTGACTCAGTCGTACTTGATCAACGAACGGCTTTAAAGTTTAACGTTTATCTTAGAAATTCCTTTTCAGTAGCATATAATAATTTGTACACGATTTATGAAGACAAAAAGGCATGACAGAAGTTCAATCATTAATTGGATTGATTGTTTTAGTGAAGGAAGGGAGGTGGTTAAAATGATGTTTGTTCTGGTGCCCAGTGAAAGCAAGCTTGGGAAATGATGCGTCCTCAGTTGAGCAATCTGTAACGAAAGATCGACAAATTACAGTTAAAAATATAGTTGAATATCATAACAATAATGTAATTATTGAATCCCTAAAATATTGTTTACCTTAGATTTTAAACATATCATATATGATAAAAAGAAGGCGCCCATACTTTATCCACAATGGATAAACGACGCACCCAATACAAAAGAGTCGGGTTGTGATGGTCACTATGTTCATTCTGGGAAAAGATATCCTAATCCACCAATCCTATTTGTGACAAATGGGCTATTCTTGTTATAAAAAATAACTTGCATTGTAAGAAATATAAGACTCGGAAAAATCTTTTAATTTCTGTGAACAGAACGCTACGGAGCATGTCACGTGAACGCCTGGATCACGTGATTCGCGAATGGGCAGAACGATGGCAGATGTGCATTCAAATCGGAGAGGACCACTTTGAAAAATAATATACATCGAAAACTGATTTTATTTCTTTTATGGAAGTAATTCAATTAGTTCGCGAATTTTTTCATTACCCCTCGTATTTCTTGTTCATTAACATATCATCCCAAAATTTTACATTACTGATATCAATTTAAGAAAGTTTCAGCTTTGAAATCTCAAAAAAGTTCCAAACAAATTTTCAAAGTATCAAAGTATTTACTATAGATAATAATAGTAAACTATAGTTACATGGAACTATAGTTTACCATGTAAAGGTTATAGGCCGAAAACTGTCCATTCTGTGAGAAGAAAGAACTGTTGGAGGGCCGTTAGGCCCGACAATAGTTCTTTCTTCTCACAGAATGGACAGTTTGAGGCCTATAACCTACTTAAAACATTTACTCTATTGTGTTCATAATGTACTCTCTTAGAATTGTTTCTCATCCATTGTATTAAGTAAGCATTATCTACTTATTGGACGGTCTCAGGTAAAGGTTGCTTACAATCGAAAGAAACTTACACTCATTGTTATTGTTATCTTAGTGGACAGTTACAGGTAAGTGCTAAATAAACGAATTAAGAATATTTAACCACAATGCCATGAGATTCCAAAATTATTTTCTTGTGATTGTCAATGTTGAAAGCACGTCTTCTTCTGGGGGAGAAAGCATATTTCTGATGCAAACCAAATCCAGATATGATGAGCAATCTACTAATAATACAGATGTCATTTTTCAAGTGATTTTTGGATTTTGAGGTTAGGATTGTCAAGATTTTGAACTTTGAACTCAAAGTGGACGTTTTTTCAAATATTTCTCAACTTTTGGCCAAGGCTATTCAAGGATGCAGAAAAACAAAGGGAAAGTAGAAAGATTTCTGCAATTAAATCACCAATATTTAGATGATTTAGAAAAGGCTTTTCTCAGAAAATAGAGAAATGTAAATTGACAATGACTGTTCTTTAACTGTCAGGGAGAATGTTGTACAGTACCCAATGTTGATGTTTTCGTGCTTATGGACGTTGGGTGATAAAGAAATCAACAAAATTATTTTTTTTTCATCACTGAAGTCAGAAACGAATCGGACAAAGACTAATGACCAAATAACCTTGCGTTCCTATAACGGAAGAAACTATGTGCTCCTGCAGAAAGTGAGCAAAATTATTCGGAGTTCTAGTGAGAAAGAAGTAGCGATTGATTCTTGCCAGTAAGGCATTAAAAAAGGAGAAGTGATATCCCCGCGTGTGTTGATGGTGCAAGTTACATACCGGTAGAATTCGGAGATATTTCCTTCAATCAATATTAAGTTTTTACATTCATTGTGATTTGGATATACATTTCATCATTTTCAATTTTTGTTTCTGTGACTTAGAATATATATTTCATTACATTGTGAAACATTTTGGATTCATTACTTCAAATATTTATTTGTGTCTTTGTTGTGTTTTCTTAATCCATTGACTTACCTGTAGCCGTCCAATAAGTTTTTAAATACTGTCCATTATTTTTGATAATGGACAGATTTATTAACTTATTGGACGGTTACAGGTAACTTATTGGACTGTCTTAAACTCTTATATTTTTTAAACCTCGTATCACACAGCAAGATCGCTTAATTTGTGTATAGGAAAGACATGGCCAGATTTTTTTCTATAGGCTAGCAAATTTAAAGAGTGGGTTACATCCTCGTTACCCATCCCCTCAAAACTTACCAAAATAAATACGCGGACACGAATCACGTGCTTGATTCAAACACAATATGTGTTACAATATTTATTGGCACAGTTCTATGTAGTCTTGCAAACCCAACTTCAATTGTGCTAATATTGCCAATCATACTTAGAGAAAAAATATGTAGATTAGGCAGAGAAGCTTTTTCATAATGCAACATTCGGTTTTTTTCTATTGGTAAAAATTATTACATACAACTAGAAAGGGGAAATACGTACTACTGTGTATAAACTTGTGTCAATTCTTAGTATACCAAACACCTCTTTTATTAATTAATTAATTTTTTTATGTAAAAAGCCTCATTTTATTTATAGGCTTTGTTGATACTAGTAAACGACAAAAGACATTGATAAAGATTTTGAGCTAACCATTTTTAGTGTCTCTGAGATCGAATATCAGAGGAATTTTGATTAAGTCCTGTCTGTTATTTTTACACAAATTTAATCTTCCTTATATTTTTATTAGAATTTTTTTTGTTTTTTGTTTTACCAGAAAATCAAAGATATATATGAGATCTAATTTTCTTAACAATTGTCCATTTCTTTCACGCAGATTTATTTGGGTAGGGTTCGAAAACATTAATCTTTCTTGTAACTTCTGAAGAAAAAAACGCTTGAGACTTTATTTTCATTCTTTTTTTTACATTATTTATCCAGAGGAAAATTTAAAGAGGATCATTACAATTATACACAGAAACCATGCATTTTTTATTCATATATAAGTTTCTCTCTCTGACACCAGCTAAGTAAATAATTTTTTTTTAATGACGACACTGGAAACTTTTTTTTATAAATAAAATTTGATAAAACAAATCTAAGAACACGTGTATTTTTGATCTTATAGTCATCGAACAGCATAATAGCCTATAGTTGTTTGTTTTTCTTTAATGGGATAAAACGTCTTGTGTTATTGATGTACATGTAAGGTATAGTGTAACCTTTTGTTACTTAAACTTTAAAGCTTTTAGGCTGCGTGATTTTATACCTCTACGTATTTGCCTAACAAGAATATTCCTACCAAAACCAGTTTTTTTTTGTATAAAAAAGATACGGGGTCATTATTCTACGGGGTCATTTTTCTACAACCCACACGGAGAAAAATGACCCCCAAGCCATAAATTCTACGAAAAAGGGGGTCATTTTTCTACGTAGAATATTGACCAGGGGGTCAAATATCTACGTAGAAAAATGACCCCGGTCAATATTCTACGGGGGTCACTTTTCGTCGTTACACCGGCTACCTTTAAAAAAGAAAAGTAAACAAAAAGCTTTAAATGATTATTTCAGATTTAAATTTCTTGAATACTGTTCGTTATCGTCATATTCCATTTCATTCTTCTGTCAGATTCAGTTACACATGGTTTAGAAATAAAGCTTATAAAATAGATCTATAGTAGACCTTCAAAGTATTTTAACACGGTAGATTTTTCTGTATCTAATTATCATTTAAGTTGATAACAAGTTATGTACCACAATATTTGAGGGAATGATTTGTAATATATGTATCGTTACACACACAAAAATTCTGTATTTGTAACAATAAAACATATGCGATATATTGCATTTGTATGGATAAAAACGTACAGTAAGGGTAAAAGTATATGAATATTGTGTTTGTAGGGATAAAACGTACGATATATTTTGTTTGAAAGTGGTAAAAACTTACGATATGTTGTGTTTGTATTTCTCGTCACAGCAAGGAAGAGTTTTGCCACCTTCATCTAAACGCAAAATTTATGTACAATGACTTCGCTTTACTTATTCAGATTTTACTCCATTTAATAACGTATGTTAATATGTATTTCGTCATTTTGTGTATTAAACTTTATAAATAGGACTTTATCATTACGTCATTTGTTAGCTTATTTGTATGTACTATGTCGTAAGTTAGCTAACTTTAGTAGTAATTTTGGAAAGTTTCTTAAGTAAAGATTGTTCTTATATTTGTTTCGTACATCATATTCATCGTACAAGAACAAAATGGCTTTGTGAAATAAACAAATTAAACGGTAACATACCCATTGTGGGAGTAAAGGTCAAATCGTGGTCCAAGAACTGTCCAAATGACCACAGAAGCAGGGAGTTTTTGTCATCGTCGTCCGTTTGACCACTCAGACCAGAGAAGAGTCGTTCACTGATTTCTCTCGGATTGGGTAGAGGCTTGGGGTAGATCCGTTGAAATCCCCGAGGTAAGGAATTACCTGTAATTATTGATTATCATATATCTTAGGATTGTCATTTATGTAAATTAGTTCAAAATCTTGTAACTGGTTTATCTGAATAAAACAAAATTGCAGATTTCTTTTTTCCGGTCCATTTCTGATTGATAGGTTTGGGGCAGATCCATTGAAATCCCCGAGGTAAGGAATTGCCTATAGTTTAGATAATGCTATAAAATATATATCATAGAATTGTCACTTACTTTAATTCAAAATCTTGTAAACGGTTAAACGGTCTATTTCACGATTGATAACGTAATGGTTACTTCATTGGAGAAAATGACTCTATTTTTTGTCCGCCTGATCAAAGCAAGCTTCATACAGCTTAGAATACAGTACAACTACATTATACATATGAAACTACATGTATACATATGAATATAAAATTCTCACTTGTCAAAATTTCAATTAAAATTTACAGTGCTTTTATCTATTTCTTTAAAGAGATTCATAATTTTACTTGAATTTAAACAATTTAAAAAACAAACACTCAGATTTCTTTTTTCCTAAAAAATGAACTGTTCATTGGGTATTTGTTTACAATGCTTGTATGTAACCTTCAATAAAAAAAATTATAGTGAAATCCCATACATAATGCCTTCACAGTCAGAATGAAATAGATCCCCAGAGTGATGAATAGTATTATTTTAATGATAATATAGCAGTACATGTCTATATCAAGCGTCATTAAAACCTCCTTAAAATGACATATATACATGTATATCAATATCATATAACTACATGTACTTTATCATCTGAAAAGGGGAAGGAAATGTTATTTTATAAAACGAAAATTGACATGGATTGGATGCGTCAAATTATCACAATTAAAGATGAACCTTGAAATTAATATCTAACATCTATCTTTGTCTACAAGAAATCCTGTCGATACTTTTTGCAATAAAAGCTTTAAAATGATGTGTTAGAAATATGTAACGTGTCACTTTATTAACGGTTGTTTTAATAAACCTTTCTACCTTTATACAAAAAACTGCTGTCACTTGCATCTCATTCCCAAACCTTCAAACATGTTACATGTAAGTATTTAAATAGTGTTATTTCTCCTCCGATAAAAAACTGATCAATTATGCATAAAAATAAAGATTTAATTCTCAATACGCACCGTCCTCGTAATAGGGTGGAATCATTCTCTTCTGGACAGTACTGGCAGCTCCCCAGCGTGGATTTATAAGATTGTTGCAAGTCCCATCAACTGTCCGGTAGCGACTAGTCCGGGCCCAGTCACAGTTGGGACCGTCACGTTTATTACAAATTATTTTATTCAGGTCATTACTGAAAGGTGATTCTGTGAAGGTACTTGGTTGAGCAAGGCTTAATGTGTTCCTATGAGAAAAAGACAAGGTTTATGTTTCAGGGTGCAAAAATACACTATTTGTTCCGAATATTAAGTTAATCAATCGTGGAAATAGAATATGGAAATCTACCCTTCAAAAATTGATGATTACAACATTTCTTGTGCGCTGCTAAATCACTAAATGATACATCTTGTAAAAAAAAAACAAACATACAAGTCACAAAGTTGCTGGGAAAATTCCCTTAAAATGCTCCATCTTCGGAACGCCTCTCGCGATGACGTTGACTGGGTATGCAGATTAGCGAACACAGTTTGTCTAATGTTGTGGACATCAATATTATTCTCTTCACAAAAAACTAAAAAAAAAAATAAATTCACATTTATCATTTCCTAGAAACTTTTGAGGAATTACAGTGACTTTTAATTTTTTATATATGTTTGTTTTAGTTAGAAATAAAGAGTAGATACCATTTTCTTGAGGGAAGCAGACGTCCTCTTGCAGAACTTGATTGACATCTGTCCTCAGTGACTCCAGGTACTGTTGCCATGGCTGTGTGGAGAGAACATCCCTCCTGAACAGAGTGAGGAGGATCAGTAGAATATAACAGCTGCGTCCTACAATAATACAGTGGGATCTTAAAAACAAAACCACACAATCCCAAAGACTATGAAGTGTCCAAAAATATAACAGTATTATCTTAAAACCAAAAAGGGTTTACCTAAAATGTTACGTATACATAAGAGTCCTGAAACATTACAGCCTAGTACTAAGATATAACATTACTATCCTAAAACAAAACCACAGAATTCAAAAAAATATCAGTAATATCCTAAAATTTGAGAGTATTATCATAAAACATAACAGCAGTTTCCTAAAATATTACATAAGTATCCTAAAATATATATACAGTATATTACAATAAACATGGACATGTTATGGCAGTGTCTAAATATGTCTTCTAGTGAGCTTGAGATTAAAAATACCACAGACTCTGACACATCTGTTTCATATTTGAATCTTTTACTAGAAAAGATGTTAATGGTAAATTAACAAAAAAGCTTTATAACAAACGTGATGACTTTAACATTTCAATCGTCAATTTCCCTTCCTTATGCAGCGATATACCCTTATCACCTGCATACGGGGTATATATCTCTCTCTCAGTTGATTCGATACGCAAGAGCATGCTCTACGTATGTACAATTTCTAAAACGAGGTAAATTATTGACAAACAAGTTGATGAAACAAGAATATCAGCTGTCTCGGTTAAAATCATCATTTCGTAAGTTCTATGGTCGATACAATGACCTTGTCAGCAAAAACAATTTATCATTGAGCCAAATGCTGACTGACGTTTTTCATACTAATTGTTAGGTCATTATTTACACACTGGATTTTTCCGTTTTTTCCCGATCATGACAAGGAGCACGGCGAGTGTGACCGGTCGGCAGGAGGTACTCGCTCCTTCATGGCACCTGATTCCGCCTCTGATGTTTTAGAAGTCCGTGCTTGCTCTGCTCCTGATTTGTATTGTTTGAATGGACATTTGGGCTTGAATACTGTTCGTTTTCTTCATAAATTTCATCCTACAATGTGACATCTGAATTCCTAAATACAACTGTAGTGTTCTAATGAAGCAATAATATCCTAAAATAAAACAATATCAAAAATCAAAAAATATGAGTTGTATCCTAAATTAACCAAAGTATCACAAAATATTCAAAGAGTATCCTAATTAACAAGATTAGCGTATATAAACCATTTTAACTCCTTCAAATATAATTTCACACAATATAGACATAACAGTTATATACTTTAATATAACAATATTATACATTCTGAAATACACGATGGTATCATATAAAATATCCATAGTATCTTAAAATATAACTGAAGTATCTTCAAAAAAATCAAGTATCCTGAAATATCCTTAAAATAGCAGTAAAATCCTACAAATTTTAGCACCCTTAAATAAACACTGCACTTCTGCACATAAAGTAAATCACATCCCTGTAACTAGTGAACATCAACAAATAAATTCTGAGGGGTTATTAATACTAATAGTGACCTCATCCTGTAATAAACACAAATTCACAGAATACCCTTCCCTATTTTCCATTTCATCAACACAAGATAAAAATTAAATTCTTGTGAATGCACAAAAAGTGTGTATTTTTGGAGATATTGTCAAAATCGTTTATAAAGTATTTTCTTTTTTTCCTTACTTACCAACCATGTCCAATCTGTCTGAAATGACTGATTTTTAATACATACTTATAAACTAAAAAAATTATTGCTATCAATTAAGAATTATTCTTTTCATTAGTTTTTCTTCTGATATTTATCTCGGATCGATGACCTAAGAATCTTAATGCATTATCTGAAATGTTATATAGATATGTACATAAAAAAAAAACATCAACCTAGAAAGAAATTCGTTGATTTTACTCGTTTTATTCAGAGTTGAATTTCTAGGTTCACATATTAATGAATGGTTTACCGCATTAGCTTATATTTACATAAAATTTTGTACTAAGTAAAATAACGTCAGATATACATGTATACTTAATGCATATTTTTGCTATATAATATAATTCTTTTTATGGTTAAATTTGTCTTTTTTAAAAGCCCTTTCTGTTTTATGGTGATAGCTTGATTTCTCTTAATCGATTTCAACATAACCCAGTTTGATGTTCTTTACATCCATTTAACGTTATTTATATCTAAGAGGATTTTATAAGAAATAAGTAAACTCGTTTAATATTACAACATAATAATGAAGCAAAACATATGCAGAGACACTAAGACATTGACAGTCATCTAAGCATTAAGAGTTTCGATGTATGGACACTGTAATGTATTTTAAACATTTGGTTAGTCAATTTTCACCACTGGAAGAACCATGAGGACAACAATTTCTCAATTGGTCTATGCAACAGAAAATTACACATGATATACATGTAACTGGTAAGTCACCTTAACCAGCAGTCAAAACATCAAACTTCAAATATTGCCATTTTGTTTCATGATCAGTTATTAAAGCAGAAATGCAGTGCATGTCATATATTTCTAAAGACATGATCTATTTAAATATTTTTTTGTAAAAATAACAGTGCTGGAATAAAATGAACAGTAATCAAGCACATTAGTCCACTGAAAGAACACAAAAGATGAAGATTTGAAACACTTACCTCTAAACTATCAGAGGTGGGATCAGGTCCCATGGAGGGGTAAGTATTCCCTGACGAGCGGTCACATCCGCCGTGTGCTCTTTGTCTTGAATGGGTAAAACGAGTAATCCGTGGACAGTTCAGATGAAAATAATCATTATGACTGAACAATTTGCTGGAAAGGTGTAAGTCGATATTTTACCTATAACTACAAAGACCATAGAACTTGTGAATTGTAGACATCAAACAAGACTGCAGATACCTTGCATGATCAATTTTGTTGGTCGGTAGCCTGCCTAGTTATAGAAATTGTATGCATGAAGAAAATGCTTTTTGTATCGAATCAGGTGTGAGACATTAACCTCATATGCAAGTGATAGTTGTTTTATTGCTGCACAAATAAGGAAAGTTGATGATAGAAAAATTGAAATCATCAGGGTTATCATAAGGATTAGTTGTTAATTTGGCATCAGTGTCTTTCTCTATTACAATATCCAAATATGAAGCAGTTCTGTCTGACTCCTCTGATGTCTTTTATTTTGAGTTCAACGTATAAATGTAAAATTGTTATAGTTAGATGGATAAACATCTTCAAAATATACCTAGATGTCCAATTGAAGACCACAACAAGATATTGATATTTGTGCTTTTCACGATTTGTTTTTTTTTTTTTTTTTTTTTTTGATAAATTCTTTTTTTTTTTTAAACAATACGAAAAGAGATTTGCTAATAACGGGGAACATTTATCGTTGGTAGTTATGGGAATTTCTTGAATTCTTGGAAAATCTGGTCTCCAAGCATATATAGATATATTGTCAATGAGAAACACAAGCAACTATTAAAGGGTTTTATCACATTTCTTCAAAATGAAACACAATTATATTCTTAAAACATTTATTAATCGTTTAATTATAGACTACATAGACTACACAATAAGGTCGGTGAAAATTTTGACATCGACGATATTTTTTTGGTTATGGACGGTCAATCTCTTATGTATGAAAGTCTAGTAGAGAGAAATAGCCAAGAAATTATGCCAACAATAGGAGAGTACACCGAATACGAAGCCGTTGACAACTCGGGGCTTCGACTAAATAGAACTAATTATTAAAGTTTACTTCGGAAATATCTATAAATATGAGAATTGTAAACTCTAATTCTTCATTATTTTAACAAATCCTGTATATCTTCTATCTGTTCCAGTGAATATCATGTACTAGAAATGACACTTCTTCAGTGTTTAATGGCACCGTACGCCATTACGAAGTTCACAACATTCCTACTAGATTCTGTGCGACTTTTTAAAAATGCGTGTAGGGTATTTTTCCGTTTTAAAAAAGGTAATATGTCCTTAAAATATTTTATTGTACAGAAAAAAATCGTGTTTTGGCATAAAGGATTGTTCCGAATGGAAACAAGGCCCTCGCGTTCGCCGAGAAAAGGCCCTCCTTTACCTTTCGACCAAGTCCAGGAAATGTGAAAAAAGTCTTCCTAACTTTTCTTGTGCACATTTGTTTATCCTAAAGCCACAATTTATACTTTAACTGGCAATTATCCAGTAATCACTTTTTTTTATTTACAAACAGGTTTAATAGAGACAATTAACAAATGAGCCGTTTTGTATACCAAATAAGTACTTTGCTTGACCAGGATTGACACCTATGTTGTCAGAGCAATGGCGCGTAGCATCGGCGATCAAAATATGCATATTGAGAAATTCAAACTTTGAATCGCTGAGACATCAACGATATTAATTTTCTAGCAAAGATTTTTTTTTAAATATATGATTTTAATAACATGTAAACTTTGTCTTATCAAAAAATTTTGAAACGTGATAAAACTCCTTTAATATTAAAGTCAAAGTTCTTGTATGTACACTCAGAATGGTTTTATTCAGAATTTACAGATACCTAATGTCCAGTTAGAAATTTTTTAGGAGACAATTAAGAATTTTGAATAAAGAAGGTGGAGGTGTGTAAATTGGTCATGTCTTCACAAAACAGAATACAGGGTGTACATGTATTTATATCTAGGATGATAAGAAATCTTTTTTTTTTCTTTTTCACAGAAAAAATATTTGAATGAAAAGGGGTAAAGAAAACAAGCAAAATAAAAACAGGGAGGAATTATGAGGGTCTGACCAAACTCAAAAACATTTCTGCTCTTTTTTTCAAGATATACCAGCCGCCCCCTCCCGGGATCAAATGCTTGTCCTCTTATTATTCCTTTAAAAAATATTGGACAGAAAATCTAATTTATATAAAATTCAAACTATTCCAAAATTGATACCATTTGTCTTCCGGATCAATCACTAACACTGTCCTTATGAAAGTAGCTGAGGTGGATTGAATGTGCATTTCGTACTAGAATTTCAATACCATGTTTTCTCAGATGCCCGCGCCGATTTGTACCCATTGTCTTTCATCAACATCCTTTTACTCTAACACACGGGAATGACGTAAGCTGCATGTTTTCAATCTTCAAAGTTAATGTTCCGCGGTCTTTTGAATAATATGGTGTTCGACTTGTTTACTACTTTTTGTATCTTCTAAATGAAAGAGTTCCAATACAATTGCGTTTGAGTACCAAACACGACATGGTTTCAGATGTAATCTGGAAATAACTAGATAAGAACAAGCTATCAACAATTATCCTGTCCGCGAAGAAGACGCTTTCTCATGACCTCTGAAAATTGAGGACGAAAAATGCGCATATATTTGATGACCTGGGTCGACCAGAAAGGGAGAGATTGATTGATTATATGTAGTTTTACGTCCCATTCGATAATTTTTCACTCATAAAGAGACGCCAACATATACCGGTGAAGGGCTTCAAATTTAAACCTTCACTCGGCACTCAGGGCCATTGAGCAGTGAGGGATCTTAATCGTGCCAACGCCTGCCTCGGTTTTCAAGGTCTCATCCAAAGGACCCGCAAATTTCACTTCAAAGTGCTGAGCGCATGGCGAAAGAAAAGTTGCTACCTATTTTTTATCGACTTAGGTCAGTCGCGGCCAAGATTCGAATTCACGGCCTTCCAGTCACGGAGTGAGCGCTCTACCGGAAAAGGCGAGGCATATATTCCATATGTAATCTATGCCAAGAGGAACTAAAGAGACTAAAGGTTCATTTTGATAAATTCTAAACAATATCATATACAACAGATACAAATTTCATAGCAAAACTCAGACAGAGGGAGAAACCATTGACCAATTTTTTTACCAATCTAAACTGCTAATGAAAGAGAATAACTACCAGGAACCTGACAATATGGTTCAAGCCTTGTCAAAGGAATAAACAATACGAAAATATCCGAGAAACTGATCAATATAGGTTGTTATCTTACACTAGAGAAGGCACAAGAAATTGCTCGACTGCATGAAATGTCAACTACACAAGCAAAGACAATGACACACAATTCTGGAGAAGATTCCAAGGTAAAACTTTATTATGAAATCTTACAAGAAATCATCCAAAGTGATACTGGAAAAAGACAAAACTTTAGTAAAGCAAGACAGAGAAAACATAGTGATGATCCGAAACCTTGTACAAGCTGTGGATACAAGCATGAGAAAGACTCATGCCAGGCAAAAGGAAAAATATCTGGATTGTGCAAGAAACCAAATCATTTCAAGAAAATATGTAGGACCAGTGAGAATGCGCTTGTTGCTGACAATGAGTATTCAAGTGGCGAAGGAGAGAAAAAGTACTATTCTGGGTGCATCATGATTGAATCACAAATGAATTCCGTAGACAATAAAAAGTTAGAAAAGACTCAGACTATTGCTGTAAATGGTAAACCAGTAAAATTCACGCTTGACACAGGTGCAGTATATAATGTTATGCTACATGTATACAATATATTGAAAGAAATTGACATACCACATAAACTCAGAAATACAAGTAATAGTTATTGTATATTTATTATGGTGTATTCTGATTTATTTGGACGAAGGGCGGTGACGAGTGCGAAGCACGAGTCTCCGCCCCTTCGTCCAAATAAATCAGGATACACTATAATAAATATTCAATAACTTTCTTGTATCATGGCCAATCAAAAAGTCAATAGTTGTTCTGTCCCAAATTTTCAAGCATGATTTTTAATATCACCAATAAAAAATATAGTTTTTGTCAGGTGACCGCATGGATATTGTCTCCTCGCCAGTATTTTTTAATTCGCACATTTTATGTGTGTGTTCATGAGAAAGGACGTCGGATTGCAGCTCTACAACTTAATATGAAAACAGATTGTTAATGAAATTCCTAAGAAAACCTTTGGATATCAAGGATGAAAAATTCGAAGCTGAAGAAGGGATATTCAGGTGTTAATCGAAAATCAAGAAAAAAAGATACCCGTTGATCATTTGACATATTCGAGAGCTGTGGCATGTGGATGCAGTGCAGCTGAACTTTATTCTAGTTGAGCAAAGAATACAGCAAAGATGGTAAATCCTGCTGAAAGGCTCTATTACAATAGGTGTGATATTTAACGATATTTATTTGTGGAATTGATTTCTCGATGCGGTGAATCGAATATTTGCAGAGTTCTGTAAAAACATTTCGTATTTTGGGATACATGTGCACTGTAATTTATGTGAAAGACCTTTATTTCATTGGCAGAAATTCTGTCTTTGTATAGGTAAAAACCCATTTAATTCTGTAATTCAGATTTAATATACATGTAATTTAAATTGCTGAAATCGCCTTGGTGTTCAGTAATTTATTTACACGGCACAGTTTTGCTGGCTTCGCCCATCGGTGTATCTCCAGTTATTGTACACTTGACTTCAAAGGAAAAACACCACAGCCATGATACAAGATTTTACTTTGAAATCTTATTCAGGACACAATATTATTTCAATTTTAAATGCTAAGTGAACGACAGAGTTCAGAACATAGAGTTTTTAGCTGCTGACATAAATGCAAAACCAATATTTGGTGCCAAGGCATATGAAATGCTAAATCTGACAATATAATTTGACAATATCCAATGCAAAGTCAGAATTTGTATTTATCCTAGTGATTTAGAAAAAGACAATTCTGAGGAATCTTTTC